CAAAGTCCAGCAACACGTCACAGACTTGGCAAGGCTTTGGTTAAATGTGAATTTGATATGAGAACAGAGCCTGGCACATAAAGAGTTTTTATATTATTATTGTTATTGTTGCTGCCGCTGCTGTTGTTGCTACTGTTATTTTGTGCCAACAGTAAAAAATGGCTTCCCAAAACCAGAATGTGACCTTGGGTTACATCAATAGAAACATTATCTATAACGTGAGGGAGGTGTGGTCCCTCTGTTCTTTGCCACAGCAGAGGCACACCTGAAGCATTTGGGTTCAGTTCTGGGTGGTCTGAATGGGGGACTTGAATGAACTGTCGTGGATCTTCTGGGGAGGAACCAGGTGGGTAACTTATTCATAGGGAAATGAGGCTGTGTCTTATTCATCCATTAATGGCTTGCAATTTTAAGAGTTAAGAAAGATATAAAGAGAAATTCTGCCCTTGTGGAGTGCACAGTCTTCTAGGGAGTGTAAGCCAGGCGTGTGACTCTCATAGACAGTGGGAAATGCAGCTCACAGTGTGTGTGGGACTCAGCTGTGGGGAGAAGCATTTCAAGCCCAGGAAAGAGAAGAATAGGAGGGGGAGTGGTCTTGGGGCATCTGGGAGCTGTCTTGAAATGTTTTAAGGGCTTCTTTGGGGGGAAAAGTGTCCTGGCTTGTCCCTAGAGACCCCAGAGTCACTGTCAGAGGGAGACAGTGCTGGCGAGACCTAGTAGAGGGAAGCCCAGCTCCAACCAGCCTGGGCTGCCGGGTTCCTGCCTTAGTGGGTCTCCCAGAAGCTGACTGTGAAATGAGGATTCACGTGCCGGCAGCCTAATTGGGAGGAGATGCCAGAAGTCCTGATGAAGAAGGGGCGCCGTGAGACAGCACAGGCAGGGCGACTGGTGCAGTGTGTGTTCCCGAGCAGGTCAGCTGTGGGCAACGTGGAGCCCCACGGAGGACTCTGGGAGATGTCCCTGAGACTTGAGGGAGTCGGGCATTTACCCGCCAACCGCCCCTGGCCATCATCTGAGGGCGGCGCTCACTTCCTCCCCGCTTGTTCTGGGTGCTGGCTGAGCCCGCGCTGGGGCTAGAGGACGCGCTGGGGAGTGGCGAGTGCCAGGAGCACGTGGGTGGCGTTGGCAGCTGGCAGTGAGTTTCCAGAATGGGGTTAGGTAGGTAGTGCGGGAGCTGGGCGGTCTGCCCTGGGCGATGCGGGGTCTTCAGGGCATTTTGAAGGTGTTGCCCACTTGAGAGGTGCTGTAATCTCAGACTTTGCTACCCTGTGGCTGATCGGGGGAGCGTGGAGGTGGGTGGACTTGGAGGAAGGATAACTTTTCAAGTGGTTTTTGTTTTTTCTAAACCACCCACTCCAGCCTCACTCTCAGGCTAATTCCACACATGGGGGCCCACTCAGATGCTGTTGGTCAAAAGTGCCCGGTTTGCCGACCCAAACGAATCCTACAGTGATTGACAGTGTTTTCCCAAGAGGGTGTGGCCTCTTGGCGAGGAGGTGGCCCAGTGAACCGGGAGAGCCCAGCTCTCGTCCCAGCTTTCTCCTTTGCGGGCTGGGAGACTCCAGACAGGTCACTTTCGCTGGGGCGGAGGGAGCACAGATTCCCCGTCTGTAAAATGAGGGGTTGCCTCGAGCTCTAATTCTAGAGCTGACATTTTCAGTCTCTGGAAAAGCTTGAATAAGACCTTAAAGTAATTTATTATTTGAGCTGCCTTTAAACTACAAAGACCCTGTGTGGAAATCGGGGCTGTTATCGTGGCGTGCCAAGCACTCCCTGATACGTTATGAATGAGTTGTGGCCCCATTAAAGCCCCTTGTGAGGGAGCACGCGTGAGCTGTAACCACCGGGATGCGGGAGGGGGCGAGCCGATGAGAATAACGACTGTCACTGGGATGTGCCACTGAAGAGCTAGCAGCTGGCATTCCCATGAGAGCGGGATCCTCACCTACTTTATTTTACTTTAAAAGGCACCATAAAAAACCATTTAATATACATACTCTTTAAAAAAATATAGCTGTAATTAGCATGCATGGAGGAGGGGAGAGAATGTATCTATGTGCTGGGCACTCTCCCCTTTTGCAGCTGGGGAAACTGGCCATCAGAGAAGGTCGGTCATTTGCCTGGGACAGGGGTTCTCAGCTGGGGTGAGTCTGCCCCCAGGGGACATTTGGCAATGTCTGGAGATGTTTTTGGTTGTCACGCCTGGGGGTGGCAATCAGTGGGTAGGGGCCAGGGACGCTGCTAAACACCTGATGGTGCACGGATGGTCCAGACAGAGTGACCCAGCCCCAAAGGTCACGAGTGCCAAGGCTGAGAAACCTGGAGTCACCTGCCGGCATCCCCCGAGTCCTCCCCCTGGCCTCTCGGTTGCCTTTGACACCACCCAGTCCTGCCTGGGCCCCGGTGGGCTCCGTCTCTGATCTCGAAGGTGGGCTGATGCTTCGAGCTGAGATATTACTGACGATTTTTTGTTTTAGATCCCCTGAGAAGGTGGTAAAGGCTGTGGGCCTTCTCTCTTCAACAATTTCCCACTTTCCACTGCACTATTTTCTCTTCTTAATATACTCTTTTATAGTCTGCTTTTCCATTAATTATTGTCATAAACATTTCTCCACATTTCTGCACTCTTAATAATGATCATTATTAAAGGTTTCATACTACTTCGTCCTATTCACAAAGCGCTGTTTCCTGAGTCATTCCTGAGTTGCTGGACATTTATTTTATTTCTTTGGTTCCTAACAGTTTAATACCACAATGATTATTTTCTTGAAGAGGAATTATTTCCTTAAGACAGTTGTCCTGAGGTTATTTGTCTTTCTCTTTCTCCTTCTCCCTCCCTCAGTTTTCCATCTCTCTCTGTCTCTCTCCCTCCTTCTCCCTCCCTTTCTCTCTCTCCCTCTTTCTCTCTCTCCTCCCTTCCTCCCTCCATTCATTCCTTCCTTACTTTATTTGATTTAATTAAAAATTTTGGGGATAATAATATATGCACATGATTTAAAATCCAAAGGTATAAAACAATGCACAGTGAAAGGTCCCCCTATTCCCAGCCACCCACTTCCTCTCCCAGGGGCAACTATTGGCAGCATTTTTCAAGTATTTGTCTATACTCGTTTTTATAAATGATGTCACACTCTGCCCCCTGTTTTGCCTGTGAGTGCACGTGGGAGCAGACTTCCTTTAGATGGGGGTGGTAGTGGAGAAGGCCTCTTTGAGGAGGTGACATTTGAGTGGAAACCTAGAGGATGGTAAGAGTGGAAGGAAGAGTGGTACAGGATGAAGACAAACAAGTGCAAAGGCCCTGGGGTGGGAATCAATTGGCAGATTTGAAGAACCCTAAGGAGGTCAATGGGGCAGTTGCAGAATGAGAGGTCAAATTGCTTGGGAAGGACCTGGTCATGCAGCGCCTTATTGGCTGTGGCATAAAATTTGGACTTTATCCTAAATATGCTGGAATGCTTTTGAGGGCTTTTAAGCAGGGAGGTGAAAGGATATGATTTGCATTTAACAAAAGAGCCTTCTGACGGATGAGTGGAGAATATTGGATAGAAGCAGAAACAGGAGGGTTAACAGACGATGGTCCAGGTGAGAGAGGCTGGTGGCTTGGCCTCAGGGGAGATGGAGACAGCTGCACAGATCCCGGGTGGAGCGTGAAGGTGGAGCCGATAGGATCTGCTGGCAGCTTGGATGTGGTGTGAGGGAAAAGAGGCTGAAGGCAGCTTCTAGATTTTTATGCTGAACAAATGATTGCGTCCGTTGCTGAGATGGGGAAGATTGAAGTGGAAACAGATTTTGTTTTTGTTTACTTATTGTTTAGTGGAAGGGGAGGGATCTTGAGTTCAGACCTGGCCGTGTTCATTTGTTATGTCTGTGCGACAGCCCAGAGGCAATGTCAACTGGATTGGGTGGAGGAGAGGGGGGAGGAAGGTGGGAGGGATAACAAAGTGCGTCCCAGGGGTCAGAGGAGTGAGCCAGGCTGGAGGTCATGGAGAGGCCGCCGGCCCCAGGACGGGCTGCGGTTACCTGGGGAGCCCTTAGTGTGAACATCAGGACAGGAATCTGTTAGTCTCACCCTAACTGCACCAGCTCTGCACATTATCATTTATTTTTGTTATTTATTTCGTAACTTTCTAATTTTCAAAGCAAACATGGCCTGCAGTGAATTTAGAGGCCTTGTGTGGCTGCCTGTGGGATCTGGGTTCTAGGAGCTTCCTTTCTTGTTTGAGTGGCCCTGCCTAATTTGGGGTGGGAATCCAAGTCTGCCCGATGCCCGAATTAAGGAAAAAAGCCTTTCTGGTTTTCCCGTCACATCCAGTGTGAGCGGCCGTTTCTCCTGCGAGTCAGGGTGCTCACTGGAGGGGAAGTTTCGGGAAAGAGGCAGTCCTGCCTCTCCTCTTTCAGGTGCCTCCTGAGTGCCCAAGAGACGCAGGTCCCCCGATCCTACCACAGTGAGTTCCAGGTGCTTTTTCATTATACATCCTCATTTTTTCTACTTTCAGCTTATTTTCCTTTCCAGTGGGGTTATAATTCTTGTCAAAGCTCAAGAAGCCCCAGGACCCCAGGACCCATTTGTTCCGCTCTGACGTCAGGCGTGGAGTGGAGAATTGCATGCTCTCCTGGAGTGGCTGCTTTTTGGAGATCGGCATGGAGTTCTGTGGGGAACGGCGCTCTGCACATCCAGAAAGCGCGTCTCGTGCTTGCGTTAGCATTTACATGAGGTGGCGCTAACTATTCATGGCGCACTGTCTGCCTGCCGGGCCAGAACCGGGCTTGTCTCTCAGGCCGCGTCAGCTGGCTCCAGAGAATCTGGAATCTTCAGGTAGGTGAGAAGTTACGGTCACCTCTCTGGTCAAGCCTCTCATTAATGGACACGTGGACGCATCCATTTATAACCTAGAGGGGCCCCTTCCCTGTGTCCTGAGTTCCTGGTATGGGCACTGGGACACAAATGTGAATAAAGCAACTTGTTTGGTTGCAAGTGACAGAATCCAACTCAAACTGGCTTAAGCAAAAAGACGAATTTTTATTGGCTTATGTGAGTGAAGAGGTAGGATGGCTTCAGGTTCAGTTAGATCCAGGCGCTCATATGATGTTGACAGGATTCAGTGTCTCTCTCTGTTTCTCTGTACCTCCTTTTGTCTCTCCTTCCGTTTCTGGTTTTATTTTTTTCCTCTCTATCTCCCAGAGTTCTCCTTCCTTAGTTGGCTTCACTCCAGGCAGCCCTCTTCATGTGGTAGCCCCCAACAGCTCCATGTTTTTATCCCCCCACTTTAGCACCAGTAAACCTCCCAGCAAGGGCTCATTAGCCAGGTTTGGGTCACTTGCCACCCCTAAGCCTGCCATCGTGTGGGATGTGGCTCCGCCAGGCTGGGCATGGGTCATCCACTCATCTCTGGAGCTGGGGGTGGGGTCAGCCTCAACAGAACCTCATGGACCTCATGAACCTTTTGTGGTCCCCAAAGGAAAGTCAAGATGCTGCTACCGGAGCTGGGAGCTTGGATGCTGGCAGGCAGAACCACAGACGAACACCTCACTACCCTCCTCTAAGAGCTTCTTCATGCCTCTGTGCCTTTTATGCACAGTTCCCTTCTGAAATGGCCCCCACCTGGTCCTCCTGGAAAATTCCTTCTTCCTCTTCCTTCAAGGCCGTGAGGCTCCCTCCAGCTGTGACCTGGTGTACCTGACCATGCCCTGCTCTGTCTCCACAGCTCACAAACAGTGTGAAGTCCTCTGTCCGCTCATGCTTGGTCGTAACCGCCTGCTTCCCAGTGGATGTGCAGTATGCAAGAGGGCAGCAAGGCCTCAGTATTGTGTGCTTGGCAGGCCACCTGGAGACTTATAGGGGTCTCCTACATGTCCTTCAAGCCTTACCTCAAGGTCAATAATGCCTCCTTGATAAAGCTTCCTTGTCCCTCAGAGAGGTGGTTAGCCACTCCTCCTGTGTGCTCCTGTTAGTACGGTGAGAGAAAGGGGCTGTAAATTAGACTACGCCAGGCTACTCCCTGTTGATGGAGAAATTCGTACCCTGTCCCCACCTCCGGTGCAAGGAGGCCTGGAGAGTCTTACGGTGAGGCGGACAAACTCTGAGAGCAACCCATCATAAGTAAGCTGTCTGGAGGATGGGCCACTCCAGGTACCTGAAAATTCCAGTGACAGGCTTAGCTGGAGCCCTCTGGTTCCCAACCCTTCTTAAAATCCATCTGAGATAAATCAGAGCCCCTTAGGGCTGTAATGTGCTGAATGGCACAATGGATGCATTCTTGGGATCTTTGACCTTGACCGGCCTCACCAGCAGCCTCCTGAACGCAAGCCTTCCTTGCATGGGTCTGGGAGTGTAGATGGTATAGGAGATTGAGGAGAATGCCGACTCGCAGAGGGCGTACCCCGGAAGTTGTTTGCAAAGTACATTTTTAGTTGAACTTTTTTTCACAGCTCACATTCTCTGCCAAATTCTCCTTCAGGACAGCACAACCAATCACACAACACAAACACACACACACACACACACACATCTCATCCTTGTGGTTTGAGAGTTTGGAGTATTTGGGATCCAGTACTAGAGTCAGATTCTGACCTAGTCAAGAGTTGCATCTTAAACTTCATTTGGCTTTCACCTCCCAGCCATTCTCCATCCGTTTATTCATCCATTACACATCCATCACCCATCAATCCATCACTCACTCATCCATCATCCATCCATTTATCCATCTGTCTTTTATCCATCCACTGTGCACCCATCACCCATTAATCCTTCCTCTTTCATCCCTCCATCTCTCCATCACCACCCATCCATTCATCCGTCCACAGTCCATGTCCGTCATCCATCCATCCATCCATCCATGCACCCATCTATGCACCCATCCAGCAATCCACTTACCTATCATCTATAAAACATCCGTGTAACAGATATTCATTGATGCCTCTGCTGTGCCAGGCACGGCTTTAGGCAGTGGCCTCCTCAGGTGGATAAGAAGATTGCTGCCCTGGAAGAGCAAAATATAGGGAGAGAGAGAGATACCAAAACAAAGATAATTCAGAAAGATACAGGTGGCCCCATCTCCCCCTGGTGTCGGCCATTTACTTTGTGCTGACGATTCCCACTCACATAGAATACACTTATGTGCAAACAGTGAAAATGGCAGCAGTTCACATTTGTTTGGTTCTTCATACACTGCTTTCTCAAGACTCTTTTGCGTCTGAGGACAATTCTTTGGGGGTAGGTATTTTTATCTCTCTTTCTCAGATGAGGAGCCTGAGGCCCAGAAAGGACAGGGCCCGCCGAAGGCCCCTGGGTGGGGCGTGGTGCAGAGGGAGCTCAGATGGGGCTTTGGCTCCTGAACCCATGCTGTGAGGCAAGGCACTCTCTGCAGCTCCCCTCCCGGGATTGAGAGTGTGTCCCTCAGCTGATGCAGGCTGTGTGACAGCTGGTGGTGTCACAGAAGGCTGCTGGCCCCCGGGTGCCTGCCGTCCATCACCCTCTGAAACTTACCTGGGCCTGCATGAGAGCCTGGCTCACTGTTGGTCGCCTCTGTAGGCTCCCTGAAGCCGAGGCCTCCCCTCTCTAACCACTGACTTTTTGGCCATAGGGAGCCATAGTAGCTGTATGGAGAGGGAATTCCTGCATATGCCTGGGGCATATAGCACAGAGGTTAAGCAGAGGGCCTATTAAATCTCCTCCAGGTAGTATGGACTGCTCTGAGCCTGAGGCTGCTCTCTCCTTGAGCAAGTGCCAGGGAGGCACTGAAGACCCAGCAGTGCTGAGCAGAGACTTCCTCCTTGGTGCTGATAGAAGGACAGGAGGAGCATTAAAAAGGGGACAATTTGTTGTCTCTGAGAGTTAAAAGCTTAGGCTCTGAAACAAAACTGTCCAGGATTTAAATTCTTGGGCACGAATGGGTGCTAACTCTTATTAATATGACTCTTATCACGACCATGGACAGGTTGAAAAGCCACCAACAGAATAATGTGGTGAAGAGTTCACACTCTGGAATCATAGAGGCCCATGTTCCAGTCCCGGCTTCGTGCCCTGTGAGCTCTGCACTTTGAAAGTGACTTACCCTCTGCGCGCCTCAGTTTACCCACCTGCAAGATCAGGATGAAAAGAATAAAAATGTACTCAACGCTAGGGAGCCTTTGCCATATGACTGGCACTGTCGTAGGCAGTAGCCATTAATAACCCACTTGGCCTTCACAGCCCCGTGAGCTGGGGCCTGCGGTCACCCCGCGGGGCAGATAAGGAGACTGGGACAGCACGAAGGGCAGGGTTCTGCCCAGAGCCCCACAGCCAGTGACTGGCAAAGGTGGGATTCGAACCTAGGCTGCCTGGCTCCCGAGCTGCTCACAGACTTATTTGGAAAGATCCATGAGATGAGACATGTACTTAGCTGAATGCCTGGACTTAGTGGCACAAAATAAACAGAGCTGATACTGCTGCTGATGACATTAGTTGAGGCTCCTTCTGCTTCTAATGGTGGAAACCCTACTAGCTTAAGTCAAGCAATGGATTTGCTCTTATAAATGACAAAGTCTAGGTGGCATCAGGTTCAACTGGACATAGGGGCCCAAAAATGTCACAGAAGGCTCTTTCTTATCCTGGATTGACTCTCTCTGTATTGGTTACATCCAATACGTTACCCACCAGCTATATAGGGCTATTAGATTACAAGCAGAAATGAGTGAAAATAAGGTTTAAATTAAACCAAAAATAAAATTTAAATTTCAGTTCCTCATTTGTACCAGCCACATTTCACATACGTGTTAGTGGCCACTGTCCTGGGCAGTGCAGAACGCTTCCATCATTGCTACCGTATTGGACTATGCTGTTCCCTGGGAAGGCTGGTGTGGCCACTTGTAAGTCCTGCGCTCACACCCCACCTGCTTTGCAACCCTGGAGGGAAGAGCATGTCTTTCTGCAGAAAAGCTCTGGCAGAAAAGTCTCAGAGAAGGCTCTCATTGGCCTGTTTGTGTCACATGTCCATTCCTGAGCCAATCGCCATGGCCTGGGGGAGTAGAGTACTCTAACTGGCTGGCCTAAATCATGTGCCTACCCTGTGGTGGGGTGGGCAGGCCTGCTTAAACCACGTGGAATGTGTTCTGGAATGGAGGAGCGGGGAGGCTGGGGAGTGAAAAATAAGGTACTGTGATGGATGGTATTATTTATCCACAATTATTCATTTCCTCCCACCCCTGCCACGTGTCTCTGGATGCTGTGTGTACTTCCCCACCCCCAGAGACTTTGGATTTGGTCACGCTGATGGCGGTGACCCTTGAAATGCGAGCGGATGGGACGTCTAAGCTTGGTAAACCTCTGCTCTCCTTTAGCTTCTGCCCTCTGTCATGAGAACACAATGCCCCCGATAGTGGCTGTTTCTTCTGCTTGGTCCCAGAGGGAGAAGACACGGGGAGACCAGTGCGGCCAAGCCCCGCTGAGCCCTGGTGAGCTGAGCCGCCCTGCTGCCCTCACGTAACAAGAACAAGAAATAAACGTTTGGTCCTGAAAGCCACTGAGATGCCAGTACTCTGTCGCTGCGGCAAAAGCAGCCTCGTACAGACCCTGGTCCTCTTCCCCCGGCCCCGTCCTGCTTCCTGCTCTGCCCAGCTCTTCGGGCTTCTGCCGAGGCCACACAGTAGCATGTGGCAGATCCACACACCAGTGAAGAGCCACCTTGGGCCAGAGTCGAAGAGCTCCTCTCCTGATTTCTCTCAAGCTCGCTGCCGTTCATTCAGTAGAAATGGTTTCTGAGCTCCTGCGATGTGCTGGGGCGGAACTGCAATGTCTCAGGAGACCCGGTCCGTGCCCTTGCTGTGCTCACGACTGGAGGGGGAGTGACTGGCGAGTAGGGCAGGACAGCCACGGGATGGGGCTCTGGCAGACTCAGGCCCGGGACGGCCTGGGAGCTCAGTCGGTGGAGCCCGGGCTGGCCTGGGGCCCAGGGCACTGTGCTGTCTGATGAGTTCCTTTAGAAAGGACCCTGGATAGAAGTGAGTTCTCCAGTGCAGGTCATCCAGTGAGACTGAAGGACTCGAGAGAGTCTCCTTTCTGTAGCAAGGAGCTTTCTTCCCTGAGCTCATTATCCTCCAGGCAGTGCCTGTCATGGCATTCCTCTGCCGGGGCTGTGGGTCACATTCTACTCCTGATGCAGTCCCTGGGGCCATGAGAATGGTGGGTGCGTCACACCCAACTGTCAGCCCTCTCCTGTCCTAACACACTGTTTTCTGACTTCAGACCTTGGTGGTCCTAATTATAAAAGGATGACTGGGGATGCGGGTCCCGGCTCTTTCGTAGGGTCCTGGGCAAAGGCCCAGCTCTCTCTCTCACTCATTTATTCATTAATTTATCAGACAAATAGAAAGCCAGTTGTGTCCAGTTTTGGGGATGGGGCTCCAGGGATGGTTAAGATACAGTCAGCCCTTCCAGCCTGGACTGGGTGTGGGCCCAGGGGAACCAGGGAGGGTTTTCTCCAGCAGGCGGCACTTGAGCTGGGCCTGGGAGGATGGGTGACAAAGCAGACAAAGCAGAGACGACGCACAAGCAGAGACGTGGAGGTTGTCAGGGGACTGCCTGTGGAGGGGGCTGCTGTCCATGCCTGCCCCTCTTTGGGGTAAACACGGCAAACATGGACCGTCAAGAGTTCCTGTACGGGGGGTGTCAGGCTCTCCCACCACCCTGACCCCTGCTGTGCTCTGGCGGGCACTCCAGCCCCTCACCTCCTTTCTCCTGATGCGCTTACCATGCCGCAGGCACAAGGCAGCTCCGAGCAGGCACAGGACAGGTGACTCCTGGTTCCCTTGCTCTTGCGGGAGCCCTAGCCTTCCCCATGTGGACTGCCGTGGGACCACGACTCTTTCTGCTCAGTCCTGCAAGGTTTGCTTTCAGGCCCCTCGTGTGGGGCTTTCTCTTGATTCTGGAGAGGAGCACTTGTCACAGCCACAGTCATAACGGCCTGAGCCCCCAGGGGGAAGCCAGGCTGCTGTGATCACAACACTCTGGTTTCTCAAACACCTACTATGTGCCAGTCCCTTTCAAGGTCATGCCTTTGGTAAATTTGAGAACCCCCGACTCTGGGCATAGAGGGTGGGTTCGACTGCAGCCCACTCACAGCCTCAGGTAAGGGTCCTTGCTTATGCACAACCTGAACTTCTGTGCTTGGCGGCCCTGGGCCCTGTCCAGTCGATATCTCATTTAATCCTCATAACAGTGGTAGGAGGTAGGTATGTTCCTTTTTCACACCTGTTTTACAGTCAAGGAAACTGAGTCTTTGAGAGCTTCAGGAACTTGTTAAGGTCATCTAGCCAGCAGGTGTAGGAGCCACTTCACACCAGGCATCTCTGACTTCAGATCCTTCCCACTTTTTGCCACATGTCACCACCTCCTGCCGCCAGCCACTCAGGCCTCCCTTCTGATGGGCTCTTAGCTGATTTTCCAGTAATTCTCCCCTGCTGTTCTGGGGCCTGTTATCATTCATTATTGCGTTTTGTAGCTTCATAGATTGTTTTATTTTTCACTCCCAGTGGGTTGTTGCTGGGGAGCAGCTGAGAACCCGGCGTGCCCTGCTCTAAATGCATCGTGTCAGATGCAAGTTTATCTAATTTGCTGTCAGAGTCGGCGGCAGCACCTTGTCGATTCCATTTCAAGCTCCTTTCCTCCCTGATGATTTCCATGCAGATGGTGGTCTGCCTGCCAGCCCCGGGGCCAGGCTCCACATGCGTCTCGCCTGGTTGTGACCCCGGGGGCATCAAGTTGCCTTCACCCCTTGCATGGGGAGTGTCTGTGGCAAATCTCAGGAGCACCTGTTCTTTAAGGAGCAAAGACCCCATTGTGGGCTAGAGCTTGAGACTGGAGGCGAAAGATCTGAATTCAGGTCCTCTTGCTGCTACTTCCTTGCTGTGTGGTCTCAGGCAAACCGCTTAAGCTCTCTGAGCCTTTGTTTCTTCATCTGTGAAATGGACAATAATGGGGCACTGGCTTCCTTCCCTGAAATGGCCCCAAAATTGAACACTTTGATGATGTCATGAGTTGGTAAGGATGTAAGAACATGGGGATCTTCACATAATGCTGGTGGGACAGGTGCGGCACAACCACGAGGGACAACATCTTGGCGACGTTTGTTAAAACCACAGACATTCATGCTCTTTGCCGCAGGAGTTCCAGCTGCTGGGGACATGCCTGCAGAGATGCACATGCACGCACCGATGTTCGTTCTTGTTCAGAGAGAGAAGTTAGAAGCAGTGGAAGTGTCCAGCACTCAAGAGAAGGCCAAGAGCCTGTGGACTCTTCCCTCGGCCAGATATCCTGCTGCTGGTGAAAGAATGGGGGACATCTACGGGTGACCAGGGGCAGTGTTTAGAAAGATAGAATGATAAATTTGATACAACACAAAAATAGAGAGCTCTTTGCTTAAACAAAGCCTTTGAAAATTCTGAATTACACTTGCAAGAATGTCACAAAATGAAATACCCTGCTTAGTGCCCCATCACAAAGCTGACCTCACACAGCCAGCTCTGAGGTCAGAATAGGGCATTGTCCCCTGACCCCGCCGGAAGCTCCCCTCCTGCCTCTGCAGTGACCCCTCACCTTTCCCCTGAGAGAGGCTATCCTGGCGTTTATGGGGTCGCTTCCTTGACAAGTTTGCCCCTAGGCCTACAACCCTGAACACTGGAGTATGATTTTGCCTGTGTTTTGTCTTTCCGTTGAAGGAGTCGCACAACGTATTCTGTTGTGACTGGTGTCCTGCTCGACATTATTTTGTGAGACTTAACTCTGTAGTTGCTCTCATATGTGGTTTTTTGGGGGACATAAATGTGAATGAAATGACTACCGAAAACGTCTGGAAAGGTACCCACCAAACTGCCGTTGTCGGTTTGGGAGAGAGGCCTGGACCCGGGGAGGGAGAGCTCTAAGGAGGTTTAGAGATCTCACCTACTACTGGGAGTTTCCTAAGGGAGAAATGTGTTCATGCATTACTTGGCTAATTACACTTTAATAGAAGAATAAACCGGACAGAATAATACGTGTTTGCCGAGTTGCTGGACGAGTGAAATGAGTTACCGTAGGTGAGGTCTGGCGTAAAGGGGGATGGATACAGGTAAACACTAACTGACTCTCTTGCGGAAGCGGCCAGAGCAGGGAGCATAGTGGAGTGGTTAGAGGCACGGGCTCTGGAGCAGATGGGCTGGGTTCAAATCCTCGCTCCGCTACTTGCCAGTTGTGTGACACTGGACGAATTATTTAACTCTGTCCCCCTCTGTGAGTTTTACCATCCGTGTTAGTTATCTGTTGCTGCCTAACAAATCACCCCAAAGCTTAGTGGCTTAAAACAGCAGTAATTGATTATGTCTCACGGTTTCTGTGGGTCAGGAATTTGCGAGTAGTCTGGGTGGAATTTGGGAGTGGTCAGGTGCTTCTGGGTTGGGGTCTCTCATGAGGCTGCAGAGGCGGGGCTGGGGCTGCCGTCCTCTGAAGGCTCTCCTGGGGCTGGAGAGCTGGCCTCCACGGTGGCTCCCTCACATGGCCGCCGAGTTGGGACTGGCCAGTGCCTTCCTCTCCACGTGCACATCGCCATGGGGCTGCTTGGGAGTCCTCACAGCGTGGCGCCTGGCTTCCCCCAAGCGAGCAGTCCCAAAGACCCAGCCTGAAGTTGCGATGCCCTTTGTGAGCCGGCCTTGGAAGGCACGCTGCCTCCTCTGCAGTATTCTACTGGTTACACAGGTCGTCCCTGATTCAATGTGGGGAGGTGGCAGGAGGTGAGGCTCACATGTAGGGGCTGACTACCCCACCGCATCTGACCCAGGGATACTCAGCTCCTAGGGCTTTTGTGGAGATTAAGTGAATTAGTCTGTGTAAAAGCACTTAGAAGAGTGGCTGGCGCACGGTCAGCTTCATATGAGCACTAGTTATTATTATTTCAGAAATGCTACCAAATGAGTCACCTTCATGCATCCTCCTGGCTTTTATTTTACTGCCTAATTTTATCATCGTCGCTCAGTTCTCAGGTTTCCTGGAATGACACACCGTGTGACAATCATGAATATCCAGGCTTTAGAGTAACCGCCAGGGCAGCGTTTGAGCCACTGCAGAAAGATGGCACCCCACATAGCATTCTGCCTGTCAGCTTCCTGTGTGGACCCAGTCACCGGTGCCCAGCCAGCCAGCGGGGCTGGTTTTCATCTCTTTGGGAACAGGCATTGAGTCTTTGACTTCAATCGCTCCCCTCAATGCCCCAGAGCGAACGGAGGCATTGATGTGAGAGTAGACTTGTTATTTTCACCAGAGAACAAGAAAGTTGACCATCTTCAGTGCTTTAGTTCAAGGATCCAGAACTCAAGTGCCTACAGGGCCAGGAGGGAAAGCCAAATTTGGGAATTGGCCAAGGGTAAGAACAGCCATGAGAGTGTGAGGGTAAACAGCAGCCCACCCTTGGCCTCAGCATTGGGGGAACAGGTGGGGACCGTGGCAAACAGGACAGCACATGCCCTGTCTCCAGGGCCACTGTCTTTTAAGTGCCGGGCAGTCATTGTCTGCAGGACTGTAGCCGGCACTGCCTGGCTTTCTGCTCCTTCCTCTTGGAGCTTTGCTGCTGTGGCCCGCCACCCAAGCAAACCTTTGGGCCCTTGATGCTCCAGTTTTCCAGTTAGTTTGCAGCCAGTGTGTAAAGTGCCTAGTGCCTCCTCCACTAGCTTCTCCCTTGGCTGTGGGCCGCTAGCGTTGGGGTCCCATCGTACACTAGAGCTCAGCCTGGCCAGATCATGTTAGCAGTAGGGATTTGCTGACTTCCTTCATCGGATAGTGTCCATTGACTGACAGAGTGAGGGTTATCACTCTGCCAGGTCATGAATTGGGGGCTGGAGAGCAAAGGCAATTCAGAGCACCCTCAAACATCTCGTGGAGGAGACAGATCCATCTCAGCAGCGTGTTTTGGGGCTGGGAGGTATGGACTCCAGTTTCCACATGAAGTGGGACCTGGGTTATTTGACAGATCTGAGGGCACCAATGGTGGGACAGACAGACTTAATTTGCCTAGAGCTGGAGGTGGGTTAGGATAAACATTGTGGTTTCTTGCCCTCTCTTTCCTTGTCATCCTTCCTTGTCCATCTCACAAGGAGGCTGAAAAGGGCAGATACTTTCCCAGCCTCTCTTGTGGCTAGCAGTGTTAAGTGACCCAGTTCTGGCCAGTGAGATGTAAGTGAGACTCTGCTGGGGACTTTTTAGGAAATATTTTCCCCTTGATGAAAGGATATGGGCATATGAGTAAAGTTTTTCTCATCATCCTGGAGGATTCTCTACTTCCTATATTTAGAAGTGGTTGGGTGAAGATGTGATGTCTGGAGCTCCAGCAGCCATATTCTGCCTCTAGGAGAATGTCAGAGAAGTGCATCACTGAGCCATTGGATCAACCCTTAATCAGCTACTTTCAGCCCTTCTTGTTATGAGAGATAATTGAATGCCCTTATTATTTAAGTCACTGCTAGTCGAGTTTTTTCTTGCACCCAAAAGCTTCATTCCTAATGTTATAGGGAGTGTTTGAGCATGTTATCTGAGGGTATGGAGAATTGAGTGCCCCTTAAACACTCATGGCGGCTTGAATTTGCTCTATCCTGCCCCTAGGCCATTTTCTATTTTTTAGTCTATAAATTTAAAAAATTAAAATGTGAAGTATATCACCTATGGAAAAAAGAAGAGTTTTTAAAACATATGTGTATAGTCTAAAGAATAATAGCAAAATACCCATGTACTCAACACCTAAATTAATGACTGGAACATTACCAAGCTGTAGAAACCCCTGTGTGCCCCTTCCCAAAGCTAACTACTATCCCTAATTTTGTACTAATCATTTTCTGCTTTTCTTTTTAGTTTTACCACTCACGTATCCCCAAACAATAGGATGTTTATTTTTGCCTGTCCTTGAATTGTGTATAAATGGAAACATGCTGTACACATTGTTTTGTACACATTGCACAATATGGTTTTGAGTTTTGTGCATGGCGATGCGTGCAGTAGTGGTTCTGTCCTTTTCACTGCTGGGTAGTTTTTCATTGGAAGATTGGCTTGCAGGTTATGTATTTATTCTATGGGTGACAGGCATTTGGGGTGGTTGCCATTGTCAGCAAGGCTGCTGTGGATGTTCTTGTCCACGTCTCAGGGTTTGAGTGGAGCTGGGTCATAGGATTGCACGCGTTACCTCCATTAGGTAATGCCAAACTGTTTTCTAAAGTGGTTGCACCAATTTGTACTCCCACAGCAGTGGCCCTATGCTTGTGTTGGTTGCATCCTCACCAACGTTTGGTCCTGGGCATGTTGTGTTCTGGATGGCCTTGAGGCCAAGCCAAGTTGACTTCTGACCTTTGAAGATGCCCTGCCCCATCTGCCTTTAAATATCAGCATCCATACTTCTTTACATGGTCACCCCAAAGTGATGTTGGGGTCCTAAAGTGAGGCCATTGCCTCACCCATGGCCTTATCTCTGGGTTCTACTAGTTGTGGAGTTCCCACTAAGGGAAAAACCTATTTGAATAGAATTTCTAACATTCCTGTCATCTGAATTCAGAAGGAGAGGAGAAAGAGGGTCGCTCTGAAAGAGCGCTCCGGGCAATAATGGCTGGAAACTTCCCAGATTTGCCAAAAGACCTAAACCCTCAGATACAGGAACCTGAGAGAACCCCAAACAGGAGAAACTAAAATGATCCAGAGTAAGACATATCCTATTTAAGATTCTGGACATTAAAGACAAAGTCTTGAAAGCAGCCAGACGAGGGAAAAAAACACCTTCCAAGAAGATGAAAAATAATTTGAATGACAGAGAATTTCTCCTCAGTAATCTTTGGAGAGCAGAAGGAGATGGCGCAATATTTTCAAGTGCAGAGTGTAAAGAACAGTCAACCCCCTGTTGTATACCAGAGAAAGTGAAAGTATCCTTCAGAAATTAAGGGGAAATACGTTCTCAGATGAACAAAAACTCAGAGAACTTGTTGCTAGCAGACCTATCCTAAAAGAATGATTACAGAAAGTTCTCTCAACAGCAAAGAAATGATAAAAGAAATAACCCTGGAACATCAAGAAAGCAGAAAGAACATAGCGAGTAAAAATATGGGTAAATGCGCTATGCTTTCTTTCCACTCTTGAGTTTTCTGAACCATGTTTGGTGGCTGAAGCAACGTTTCAGTATTCCCTGATGTACTTCTAAATGCACGTGGAGAAATTATTAAAGAAAATTAAGTTATAAATTGGGGAGGGTAAAAAGCTGTAAAGGGAGGTCAGATTTGTGTACTTCACTCAAAATGGTGAAATGACAACAATAGTGGGCTAGGTAAGTCGCGTGTAATACACGTCATACGTATGTTCTAGTATATGCACGCTCTAATCCCAAAAGCAACCTCTTGAATAATCTATACAAACATATATACTCAGAAATACTGAGATAAAGCCAAATGGCATTCTAAAACATGTTTAAATAGCCCCTGGGAAGCAGAAAAAAGCAAACAGAGAAGGAAAACAAAATGAACAGGAGACACTAAAATGGCAGATGAGTGTTAACATATCGATCACTGTATTAAAGGAAGATAGTCTAAAAGATAGAGGGGAAAAAACGATTTGAAGTTCTCAGTCATCAGAACTGCACCTGCGGGCTGGCCCGGGCAGAGTGGTTAAGTTCGTGCGCTCTGCTTCCGCGGCCCAGGGTTTCACCGGTTCGGATCCTGGGCGCGGACATGGCACCGCTCATCAGGCCATGCTGAGGCAGCGTCCCACATGCCACAACTAGAAGGACCCGCAACTAAAAATACACAACTATGTACTGGGGGGCTTTGGGGAGAAAAAGGAAAAATAAAATCTTTAAAAAAAAGAAAAAGAAAAAAAACCCCCTGCATCTGCTACGATTTGCCCGCGTGTCAGGGGCGCTTTTCTGGAAGGCCGGCGTCGGTGTCCCGCCCCCCGCCCCGTTCTCTGCGTATTTGAACAGTCAGCTGAAGGGGGTGTCGGGTTCCGGGGCTCTCAGGTGCCCACTGCAGGGAGGGGAGGGTGCTGGGGCTGGCATGGGGCCAGCAAGAAGATCTGAAAGGAGGGCAGTGGGCCCTCTCCTGGCTCTAGTCACTGCCTAGGACAGGTCCCTAACCTCTCTGAGCCTCAGTGTCCCCTTCTATAAGATTGGGGATGATAATATAGGGTTATTTCTGGGAGGCGGGGTATGTCAGTCATTTAGCGCAGCACCGGCATGCAGTAAGCACTCTGTAAATGTTGGTATTAGTTCTCTGGGGAGCGGTGGGTGGGGTTCCAGGGGTCCCGCTGTCATGCCTCGTGCGCACGCTATAAAACCTTGTGACCTGTACAACGGTGCACTAAAAGAACAGATGAGAAAAACAGAGTTGGAGTCGATGGCTCAAAACCTTGAGAGGCTTACAATCAGAGCACCCACAAAATCGGTAACAATCCTACTAAGCACTGGAGCCTGCGCCGCCGGAAACCGGAGGCTGGGGCTGCCTTTGCGCACTGGCTTCTAATCGGCACTGGTTTCATCGACATTAAAATTAGGCTCAGCAGTGTAGCCTCATGAATCCGTTGTTTGAGGAGAGGTGGGAGTGACTTTATAGCTTCTTCATCTCAACTTGCCGTGTCCCCAGATTGCTTCATCATGTGACAGCGCAGAGGTCCTTGAACCGAGAATCCAGCTCCTGCTTGTAACAGGGGACGGCGCTTCCACAGACTTCCAGCTGTCTTCTTAAGTCCTTCACATCCTGCTAAGGATATTTTTTAAATTGTTCTTGTTCCTGACTATTTAAAAATATTATCATGCTGGGGAAAATCAGGTCTGGACACAACTTGCCTGTTATTGCAGCATCTTTCCCCTATTTACCAATCACGGATGAGGTAACCTGTGTCAAAGGGTGCTCCCCTGGAGCAGCACAGACGCTGCTGCCCTCTGAGGGTCTTTTCAGCCCCGGTGCTCTGGAGCTGGGCTTTGCAAATCGTAACCTGGGGGCCAAATCCAGCCCACTGCCTGTTTTATTTTTTTAATTTAAATTTAAATTTTTAGTTGTAACAAAAGCACATAACATAAATTTTCCCACCTCAACCATTTTTAAGTGGGTTAAGCATATTCACGTTATTGTGCCCACTGCCTGTTTCTGTAAATAAAGTTTTACTGACACACAGCCATACCCGTTTGTTTATGTATTCTCTATGGCTGCTTTTCTGGTGTCACGTCGGAGCTGGGTAATTGTGACAGGAACCGTATGGCCCACTAAAATATTTACTATCTATCTTTAAAGAAGACCCCTCTTCTGGAATTATGAAATTTATCAATTTCCTGTGTCCATGGCCTCTTCCTGTGTGTTCCCGGAGCCCCATCCCTTTCCCAGAGTCCAGTGTCGGTCATGATAAAGTTCCTCTGCTGTGGCAAAGAGGCTCCACAATGCGAGTGGGTACAAGGCAGACTCCCTGCCTCTGAGACTTTTGTCTCTGGGAGACCCCTGAGCTCAGACCTGACTGATCGGAAGTTGATTCCTGAGCCCCCGCCCCGCAGTGGTCTCTGTGCCTGCAGTGCCCGCGTCCCACACTCTGAGGACTGGCCGGGGCACCGAGGCCTCCCCTCAGAGCTCACGGCCCGGCCGGCAGGGCCATGTCCAGGGCTGTGCCGAGAGTGGCTCCTTTCCTGAGAGAGCAGGACCAGCACATTTCTGATGTGCTTTAGAAATACAGAAAAGCTTTATTGTAACGTAGTAGGTATTCATTGTCGAAAGGTAAAGTAGCCCAGTAGGACAAAAAAGTGAAAACTGAGAAAATCCCTCCTCTTCCCTTGTGCTTTGGCCCCACCGCTCCCGTTGTTTTCTTTCTCTATACACCCGCGTTCTCATGTAAAGCAGCGGAAGCGTGGATGTCGACTGCACTTTGCACTCTTCCCATGACCATTGAACTCAGGCATTTTCTCGTGTCTGTAATATGGATCTGTCTCATTCTCTTTTAATCCCCTGGTGGGTACACCTTTATTTATTCAGAATATAGACTTCTTTCAGCCTAGTGCAAATGCCGTCTTCCTCCAGGAAGTCTTCGTTGATTCCTGGAGCACAGAGTGGACACTTCCTGCTCCAAACTCCTAGGTCCCTGTCCCTTTCTCAGATGCTGTATTAGTCAGGGTAAGGCTATGTTGCTGTAAGAAAGAGACCCCACAGTACAGAGGCTCAAAGATCAGAGAAGCTATTTCTCTCTTAGGTAGTGGTCCTGCTTGGTGGGGTGCCTCTGCTCCTGCCACTCCTTTCAGGACATTGGTTCCTTCCAAGTCATTGCTCTGCCATCCCCTCAGGTACCCTGTTATCTGCATGGTTGAAACTGGGCTGCTCAGGAAGCTGGGAGAGAGTGTGGAGGAGGCCTCCCTGATGTTTGCAGCCCTCACCTGGGGTGTCCACTCCCACGCCATTGGCAAGAGCTTTGCATGATCATGCCTACTGCCCAGGAGGCCTGGGGGCTTCACTGTCATGGAAGAAGGGAAACAGGGTGTGGTGGACAAGCCTTGACACCTTACCCTCGTGTTTGGGGCCCACATGCTGGGGTTTCCTGGCTTTGGCAGTGGAAAGTCTGAGAGAGCAGGATCTAGGACTGGTCCATCTTTGCATCTTCCTTCAGTCCTGCGCAGCACCTGGTGTCTGGTCCGTGCTTGGCAAGTGCCTGGCCGGCATGTGGTGATGGCTTTAGTCATTCAGAGGGCGGTGGACTCTGCACAGAGTCACTCACTCATTTGGCAGGTATCTATTAATGTTTACGACGTGCCAGGCACTGATCTGGGCCCTGGAGACCCAAAGACACGGTTGCTTTGCCTTCAAACATCGTTATCATTATCCTATCAGGTTCCTGGAAAAGGAAATTCTCTTCCGGCCTCAGGGCCTTTGTATATGCTGTTTCTTCTTCCTGAAATCCCCCTCCCTACAGCTCTCCCAGCCATAAGTGTCACCTCCTCAAGGAAACTTGCTCTGATCCCTCTCCCAGACGAGGTTGGATCTCCCTATTATCCACACATTATTCTTTTCCATTGTAAATTTTATCACAATGGCATCAAAGTGACCTTTTTTGTATAAGATTTTATTTCAAACCAATTGTTCCCATAGGTTTGTAAGCTCCACGATGACAGGCACAGTTATGTATGCTCAGCACCTAGCAGGACAGCTGGCACAATAGGCGTTCTGTCTATACTTGTTAAATGTTTAATCAGTATTATCACCAGTTTACGGATGAGGAAATTGAGGCCCAGAGAGGTTGAATAACTGGGCTGAGATCACAGAGCTAGTGAGTCTGGGCACTGAGATTCAGTCTGTCTGCCTCCAGAGCCCTTGCTTTCACAGCTTAATGCAATTAGAATACCACATGATGTGTGCTATAATAGGGTATTAATAGGGTATGTTTAAGGGGTGGTAGGAGGGCAGAGGAGGGCGTGACTGACTCAGCCTGGGGGAGTGGATGGCTGCCTGGAGGAGGCGTTGACCTTGAAGACTGAAACTGTGGGTGGTTTGGAGTAGCTATAGCGACTGCGTGGGAGCGTGAAAGATGGGACCAGATGCTGGGCTGGTGACGAAGGCCGTAGCCAGCTTTGGGCTGTCAGGGGTTTGGACTCGGCTGAGCTGCTGGGAACTCTTAGAGGTTTGTAAGCAGGGGTGCAACACCATCCAGTAGGTCATAGCCTTAGGTCAGGGCTGCAAATTGGCGGTTGCTGGCTACAGACTTGGCTGGGCTCAATGAGTGTCCTACAGTGGGATTTGTGGCTGATGGTAGTAGTTAGGATTCTAAGTCCACTCGCTGAGCCAAACACCTCGAAACAACAGCAACTTCAGCAATATAGAAGGTTTTCTCTCACATAAAAGTCTCGACTAGTCAGGCATCTCAACTCCACATTGGGGAACCAGGATTCTTCTAGATAGTTGCTCTGCCATCTGGGAGGCACTACCCTTGTCCATATGGTCCAAAATGGACCACAGCCATGGCCATATTCCAGCCACCAAAAGAGGGGAGGTGGATACGGGCCAAAGAGCAGTCTCGCTCACTTCACACTGGAAAGATGAGATTTCACGTAACAGTCGGGGCTCAGTTCCCTGGACAATGGGAAGACTCTGGCAGTCCGGGTCACACATGGCCACCGCAGACTCGGGGTGAGTAGCGTCTGCCCCTTTTGGATGGGACAGTTCTCCACAGTCCCCATCACTCCCTTTTGTATCGCTGAGCACCTTGGCATCAGTCATCTTATGCCAGCTCCTCCACTCATCTGTGTCACCCTCCTGGCCCCTGATACCTGTGAGCTCACAGCCCCGCCTCCCGCGAGGTCCCACAGGCCACTGAGCCAAGGGCCCAGTTCAGGCGGGGCAGCTGGCAGGCGACTGCAGTGGCTTTGGACAGACCCCCTCCAAGCTTTGTGCTGACAAACTGCACTTCCCTCCTCCGTGCTGGTGGATGCCGGTCCAGCTGGTCCCTCTGCATTCAGAACCCTTAGCTTGTCAGGAAACCTCCTTGGCAATCAGGCTGGGGGGCTTTTCCACACGGCCCCTTTGGCCTTTGGGCGGGACTGCCATTCGTTGTCCTGGGAGCCCCTCGAACCAACCGGGAGTCCGCCTCAGCTCCCGCGTCAGCCCTGCCTGCAGAGGGTCCCGGACTGGCTTTGCCATCCCAGAAAGAGCTGAGCCTGGCCCAGCGGGAGCCATTGGAACCGGGATGCTCTTCAGACTTCCCGTCAGAGGCAATTGTGGGTCGTT